CACCACCAGATGTCAGGGTGGAGCACAACCTGACTCTGCTTACACATAACATGTAATTACTTCCATGTTTTATATACTTATTTTCTTCACATCCATGCAAATAAGGTTGATGTTAGGATACAGAAAAGAATTGTACTATGGGGTGTATGTAGCTATGCAAATGGAGGGGAGGTGTTAAGATATATGCAGGGCTTTAAATATAAGGAGTCTTCCTGATCATCTGCTCCTGGCGCAGGGGTATAAATCAAGTCGAGATGACAATTATAGAGTAGCAACCTATGCATATACAGTCTCTCTCCCGGGCAGACTTGTGTTCTGTTCATTCTTTCTTTTTTAGTGATTTTCCTGAATATGAAATAAAAACTATGCAGGTTGAAAGGATATGTTGGCTCTTTGTGTGTGGATAACATAACATGCCATTTAATATTTAACATTGAACTGAAAGGGAATGTTTGGGACTAAAATACATGCCAAAAATGAGAGAGATGGGGAGAATAAGCATGAGTGATGTAACATGGTGATTGAAGGGTTTATTGCTCTGGATAAATCCCCTGTATTTCAAATGAATACTAAATCCTATGTTTGATATGTTCTACCTCTTAATGACTAGCAAGCAGATTGCTCAGCAATGGGTGACACCGAATGCCTTCTATTTTTGCCATCAGGCGGAGAAAGCTGAAGGGGCTAGGTGCTGATGGCTATCTGGACACTAGAGGCCCTAAGAATCAGAGTAGATTAATGATCAACTCAAATTTACATGGGAAGCTGCAAGAGCATAGGAAGCACATAACTTGTTTTCACACTAGAAGAATAAATCCTGGACAGAAAACATCATTAAGCTGTATATACTTCGTAAATATGTACCCTAACTTAAAGAAAGAAAACCTTATGAAATGTTGCAATTTTATGAACAGTAAATTGTTAAAAGCCTGGAAATTCTAAGTTATGGTTAAACTCTGAAAAACCCAAATGTTTGAAAGTGCAGAACTGAGGCAAGCCCCCAAAATAACCGTAACTCTGCCCCTACTTATGCGCAAACATAAAACAAAATTTATACCCACACACTAGCATGGGATTGAGTATGGCTCATATCATATCAGTACTGAATAGTGAATACCATACTGTCCAGTATTTCAGGTACTAATATACGCATCACTAACCCACTATTTATGTACCAGCTACACAAGAAGAGACTATCCTCTATTTCCCCTTCCCACTTTGAGGAAGCAACACAAACATCTCATCTTTTACATTCATATAAACACATGGAAGACTTGTCCAGTGCTCAGCCTGCGTTACCAATATAATTCAGTCACATGAGACTTGGGAATTTTACAGCCATTTGAAACTTGTAGGATTCCAGTACCCGCAGACATTGTAAATGAGAATGCCCTTGCCATTCAACTATGAACAACCTATTATTTTATTATTTGTTTGTTTGTTAAGAGCACAATGAAATTTGTTTCAGCTGTCCACAGCAACTGGCTGCAAGCTTCTTAAAGCCCCAAGATGAACTCTGTGGTTCTTTCTAAAATGTTTAAATGTAATATTGCCCATCACAACCATTCAAAAAGTAATGAAACTTGCTTAAAAATCACGATTTCGTCTTTAAATTATAAATCTGAGATTTTTTTAATTTGCCTTCTGTTTTTTTAACTATAAGGGTACACTTGGGTCATTTTTAGCAATTTTTTCTCTGCAACCACAAGGGCTAGAAACTTACCTTTTTAAATAAATGAAAGTTGAGATTCTCCTGTATTTACGTGCTTCCAGGAGTCAGGGCTTCAGCACCAATATTGTAACACTGTAAATGAGTTTGAGAAGTTTAAAGGAAAGCTCTTTTTTCATCTCACCTTGTAGCAACATAATCATTATTTAATATTTATATGGGGATAGTGCCTAAAGGCCACAACCTATTGTGCTAGGCACTGGGACACTCCCTGCCCCAAAGAATTTACAATCTAAAATAATGTATTATGTAATGGCATTGATTTTCTTTTTTTTAAACTAACATCAGAAGAAAGTTCTTCTCTTTTTCCTGGCAGCTGCCATCTTGCAGATCATTTACTAATCCCTCCACACTGTTCTGGGAACACCGCTAACTTTCAGAAAGTGACATTCCTCATATTTCACAGCTCCTGGGTTCTTTCTCTCCCAGACCTGAAACATCTCTCCTGTTGTTTGAACATGATTTTTAGCTGACTTCATCTCTAGATTCTTTATGGTCTGTATGTCAAGGAGGAGCCTCTGTCTCACATTGGCAGGGTACACAGAGAAGGTATACATTGAATTTTCCATCTGGACAGGTCAGGGGGATTGGGAAGACTGGCCTTTCTGCCTCTGAGTGGAATAGCAGGTGAGAGAATGGTGCTGTATCTTGACTGCATATGGAAAGTAAGATGGGATAGAAGTAGCTTCCTTACCAGAGTAAAATTGACACATGGGAATGACATGGCAGTGGTTGTATAGAGAAGGCAGGAAGCACAATGCTCATTTTTCTGACCCAAACTGGGGAGGTGACCTAAGAAATGTTCTGTGGATGGTAAACAGTTTATGAGCGTTTGTTGATTATATTAGAAATGTATACTATGGTGTGGTGAAAAGAAAAGGAGTACTTGTGGCACCTTAGAGACTAACCAATTTATTTGAGCATAAGCTTTCGTGAGCTACAGTTCACTTCATCGGATGCATACGATGGAAAGTGTAGAAGATCTTTTTATATACACACAAAGCATGAAAAAATACCTCCTTCACCTTTTTGCGAATACAGACTAACACGGCTGTTACTCTGAAACCTATGGTGTGGTGGTGTGTAAGAAAGCTCTGAGTTTAGAGACTGAAGCTAGACAAGGAATTAAGGTTGTTTTGGACTGTGCAATTTTACCCATGTACATTTTATTTACTCGACTGTGTGAACTGTATGAGCATATTGAAATATCTATGTACAAATAACTTCCTCAATTGTTCAGTTCCATGGTTCTAAACGGCTAGGGTTTACTTATCTGTTAGACTCTATGTGTTTCCACTTTAATTTTAACTGGCAACCTTTAATTTAAAAGTAGAAAAGATATCTGTGTGTTTGCAAACTGGACTACTTTACCTGCCACTGAAATGCAGCTATCCCTAGAGAGAAAGATGAGCAGCAGCTGTTCAGCACTACACAACATTTCAGTGAAGAACAGAGTCATGTTTTAACTCCGATTTCCACCACCAGCCCAGAATTATATTGACCAGAGCTATTATAGCAGCATCTTATAACGGTTTACCTGCTAAAAAATATATTACAAATCAAATAAATGCATTTTGTTAGGTCAACTGGGGGAAAAATCAACAATACTTCACCCACTCCCCTCTTCCTTAATCCTTGCTTCTCCCTTCCTATGAAATTGAATAGTCTGCAAGTTGCTGGTGCCAGCTCTTTGCAAATTGCCTAGGACAGGTCTCTTCATTGACGGTTCATTTTGCCTTTCTGTAGCTGACATGCATTGTTATTTCAATGAAGGCTTTGAACTCAGATTTTTTTCATGCAAATTGGTAATGCTTCCCAGCTGAATTGAAGACATCACAATGTTTTCTATGAAATCCAGTAAAAAGAGCAATATTTTCTCATTAGACAAACTCTGAACTAATGGTGGCTTGGGATGTTACTGGTTATGTGGGTAAAAGTGGAAAAGGCACACACAATGGTGATGCTTCCAAAACATTGGCTACATACCAATTCTCCCCAAGATATGCTTTGGGCTATAGCATACCTTTTAAAGCACAACTAAGATAGGGAAGGAGCCAAGATACAGCATACTAGTGTGTAAGGGTGCTGTGGGAGTGCACTCTGAAGTGGCAGATAGTACACCCTTTTAAAAAGAGCCAGCCTCCAGTCACTAGAGGATGCTACATCATATCTTCTTGTTTAATGGGACATCACTCATTTTAGTGCCTTCATTTTTATTGTTGAAAATTATTTACATCAGCAACAAAGACTCATGAAACAGTTGTAGTTTATAACAAAGGGGTTATTTAGACTAAAGGAAGAATCCGGTAGCATTTTAAATGTCCTGCAGGAATACGTCTTTGTGTCCCTCATTTAGGATCAGTTCATATTGTGAACCCCAAATTGTTCACACATCATATGTCAGGCCCCAAAAATCGTAAGATTGGCTTAAAAGTCATGAGACTGTTTGTTAAAATAATAAATTTTGGATTCTTTTTATTTGCTGTCTGGTTCCTGAACCTTTAAGGTACACTCAGTTTATGTTTGCAGGCTTTTTTCTACAACTAAAAGGGCTAGAAATATACATTTTTAAAAACTGAGCAGAGATTCTCATATAATCACTTGCCTCCAGGAGCTGAAGCTTTAAGAAAATTACCAAATATCACAAGTCTCATTATAAAATTGTGATGTTGTCCCATATGTGGGCCTTGCCAGGTTGAGAGGCACATGATTCCATGGGATGTGCAGTTGATAGTCTCAGCCAATTCCTATTCTCGTCTCACAAAAACAAATGCCCCAGTCAGCACCAACTAGCACCAACCTTGTTAGTAGTATCAGCAAAGATGCCACAGAGACTCAACTACCCTTTCAGTCCCATAGGTGGTCCTTCCAGATCAGGGTTGCAACACATTAGTACCCACTGGTGGAAAAGCTTGCACTGTTACTGCCGATGCAATATCTGATTTAGGGACGCCAGTCTCCAGGGTTGATAATTCAGTACATTTTGCCAGCACTAAAATGGCTAAAGATATAAATATTTATTACACATAAAAATACCTATATATTCCAGAGTCAAGATGTTATGAATCAAACACATTTTAGCATTCAATATATCATGTTCATTCAACCCTTTGTTCAATTCAGTTTGTTATATATATTCCCTGCTTAATAAGGATATTCTAAACTAGAATCATGTGTGCTTCTTGATTTGTTTCCCGAAACAGCATTTGCCTCCTTTTAGTGCACCTTAACAGTTCCATGCAAAGTTTTGATTTGATAGGACAAGAACAGTGAGGGCATTAGGACCAAGAGAAAGACACACACATTGCTTTGTATTATGTCTGGCAAAGGGTTCCTTGACTGAGTGCTGTAGTTATGTGTGAAAGAAAGTCAGGGACTGACTAGTTCTCATCTGTTGATCACAGTTAACTTGACGCGTCAAAACAGGGGAAGCTGTCAGATCTGCTTGCAAAGATAATATCACTCCAGCCCAGGCAGCGATTGGAAACTTTGCAGTGGCAGGAAATATTCTGGAAGGAAACTATAAAAAATGGAATTTATTTTTACTTTTTCTCAGAATTAAAAACGAAAATCAAACTTAAACCACCTTTTAATGAGCTTTTTGGTCAGCTAAATACATTCTTTCTTAGACAATCTGGGATTCTGTATAATAAAGGATCTCCTTTATCTAATTGGATCTATGTTATCTCTCATAAGTAGGTATTTTTGATTTTGTCTACAAATATACGGGAAAGCATGAAACAACATCAATGAAATGCGAGGGGGAGGGGGAACCTCACAGCAGACAGTAATGACCAGTTTATTGCTGCAAAGAAACCAGAGAGCTGGGCTGTAAAAAATATCCAAGTGATATTTAGCATGACCATCTGTATTGTTTTGTCACCAACAGTATGCTCTTGAAGAAGAGGTGCAGATATGGATCACGTAAGCTTCAGTTTCTCTTGTTGTTGCTGATGCTGGGTTTTTTATTACTGATGGTTACAATCCTGAATCCACCATTCCGGGACCTGAACAAAGCGGGGACATCCCAGCCATTAAAGTTCAGTGCCAGAGAAGGGTATCAGCTGGACTTTCCGGAAACCCAAGAAATGTTGGAGACTCAGGAAGAGAGCCAGCAGTACTACCCCATGGTGGGGTTAGCCCCTTTCATTTCCCTCCGGGAGGACGAGCTGCTAGTGGCCATTGTGTCACCCATAGCCAGGAGAAACGACAGCAAGGCTAGAAAAGGATACCGAATGGTGAAGCAGCAGAGCAAAAGGCAGGAGGAAAAGACTAATGTCAAGCCCAGGGGAAACCAAGAGTCCCAGCTCATGTCCTTTCCTCTACAGGATTCAGAAGAGGCTGCTGGGGGTGAGCAATTGGCAATCCTTGGCCTGGAAACTCACGGCTTTAATGAAGCGCTCAGTGAGCGGATTTCTCTGCGCAGGGAGCTGCCTGAGGTGCGGCATCCTTTGTAAGTAAAACATCCTAATTATTTCCTATGAGAAACCTGACCCCTCCCAATTGTCCCCCTAAAAAACCTTTCCCTTGACCCCTGAGAAACCTGTCCCCTTTCTATCATATCATCTTCCTCATTGGAGCAACCAGCCGTCCTCCCCATAAGGAAATATATCCATTCCCCCAAATCCATGTCCCTTTCCCAAACTCCATGCTACAAACTGGGACCCTGAAACACAGATCAGAAATTGGAGCTCAAACTAGCAAGACACATCCTAGTTAGACAAAGCACACTCCTCTTCCTGTCTCCTAAAATAACTTAGAGTACAACAGCTTTCATTTCATTCCATTATATCATCCCCTGGGGATACTGAGAGCACAGCAAATGCTATAACAAGAGCCATGAGAGACACTTGTCTCATTTTCTCCCTTTCTTAAATACTATAGTTGTTGTGGGGATTTCGGTTTTCTTAAAACAATAAGGCGGTGTGGAAGGAAGAATAACTGCAATGTACCAGAGAGACAAGGTGGGTGAGGTAGTATCTTTTATTGGACCAACGTACCAGTCACTCTGGGGGTTCCAGTCCCAGCAGAGAGGGAAGAACAAGTATACAATGAATTAGTGTACAAGGCTATGTTATTTGTAAAACTCTTTTGCTCCTTGTTTATGTACCTCTCTTGCCCTTTCACTTTCACTGGCAGAGGCAATCGTCCTACTTCACCCAGGTAGCCAACAAGTTCTGACTTTTCAACCTGTAAGTGCACTTATTTATTAGCCTGCTCATTTAATGAGGAGTATGGCGGCCTCTGCTGGCACATATCAGAATGGGAAAATGTTGCAGTTGGCTGCTTTATTTAACAGGTGCCAGGGCCAGTCAGTGCTATTTAGCCATCTGTTGGTGTGTGAGAACTATGGAGCTGGTTGGTCTGTTGGAAAGGCAAGCTATGCAGATGAATTGTGCTAGCCATAAGATGCCAATATAAGGGACTTATTTATGCTTGTTTAGGTGTCTTTTGTTAAATAAGCACATATACTTAAACTTATTTATTTACTGTATTCTATTCAGCTGATGCCATCCTTTGTTCTCAGAGTGCTTCATATGTAGGTAGTGGCCCAGATTCTGCTCTGAATTTCACTCGTGCAGGACCACTGACTGTTTGGGGACTGAAATAAGCAAAACAACTTGGGCCAAATTCAGCACTGAGTTACCCCTGCGTATAGTTATTGTAGGCTTGCTTGGGTGTCACTGTGGGCAGAATCTTGGTCTAAAAATGACTTTGCTCCCTGTCTGCTGAATATTTTGCAGTGCACCTGATGTGAACAGAATGCCAGGGCATTTGATGCATGTCCAAAGGGCTATAAGAGTATTGATCTGTTGGGTGTCCATTGTCACTCAGTTAGTAAAGCGATAACATTATTTTCTATTATATTCTGTATTCTCAAGTGGACAGTTTCATGTATTCCCTGCAGGAGCTGATGATACCACTAACACTGGGGAAAGGGCAGAGAATAACCGAAAATCTCTGGGCCTCCTACACTTCGTCTTGTTTGGTTAGATTGTAAGCTCTCCTCTTTATGTCGTGGTAGTCATATAACCCTCATCAACATAGTATCTGAATACCTTCCAGTCATTAATTAATTTTATCTCACAACACCCCTGAGAGGTAGGGAAGGACTATTCCTATTTTGCACATGGGGGAACTGAGGCACAGGTAGATTACAGGGCTATAGCCTGCTAAGAAGATCTAGTGAAAAGTTCACTGATAGTTAGTCTGTGCATCAGTTGGTCTTGATGGGTGAGGTTCTACCTGGTACCTAGCCAAGTAGGTAGTGGAGGACAGAGAGAGCATCAATCCCCCTTCCTGAATGGATTCCTTAAGGCAGAATAGCAGCTCCGGAACTCACTGCTACTCCAATTATCATCTGGGGGGGGTGGTGACTCCGGAATGTGGTGTAGGAGGGGAGAGAAAGCAAGTAGAGCCATGGCTCTGCCTCCCTCTGATCTGGCTAGCCATGTGAGATGGGTTATGTAGCAAGTCTTAGAGAGATATAGCAGCTTCCATGCTCCCCAGAGCACTGGGAGAGCTCTGAGAGGCATCCTGCCTTTCTGAGGCAGACTGTCTCTGATGCATCCCCTTTGAGTAGTGCAGCATACCAAAAAGACGTGATCTGGCCCTATGCAAGCAAGAGGTTTCACATATCTTTTGCAGTGGTCATTTTCTCATGGCTAGAGACAAATGGCAGTCCATGTTTGAGGAGACAAACTTCAAGACTTAGAGGATGTTTTCCATATTTGCTAACAGTGTTTGATATACATTATCTTTAATTTGTTTTTATTTCAGCTGAGTTACACAGATGGAAAACTAGAGCAATGCAGGGGTGAATCAGGCCCTCTATAATTACCCAACCAAAACCAGCTAGAAATGTTCCAGAGAGTTATTTCTATACAATTCTACCTTTGTTGCAGCCTGTCTGAAGTTAGGTGGTAAACTGTTGTGGCAGGGACCATACCTACTTATTTTGAGGCACCTAACTTACTTGCATGCTGCAAAATAATAATGATAAACCCCACTTCTATATATTTCATCTACTAATAAATCAGCTTTAAGATGTATGGAGTTTGTCATAGAACATACTCTTAGAAATGCTGTCCCTTAGAGCTGACACCATACCGTTGCATTGTCTTTTGCATTAAAGCAGTGCACTGGAACAACTAAATTGCCTGCTGTTCACTGCAGCCTGCCACTCATGTGCTGTCCATAAAGTCTTGGACCCGACCATCCAATGTGGAGGGTGGCCCCTTTGATCTCTGCAGCTACATCCCACAACCTTACACATCAAGCATTGCTCCGTACAACCACAGTCTTTCCTGCCTATCCCTGGTGCATGTCGGTGGTACTTTTCAAAACATGTATGAATAGAAGTCCTGGATCTCTGCCAACATGCACTCCACCCTCTCACTAAAACTTATTAATAAAACAAAATCATACCTCATGTAATCCCATTTACTTTTCTGGCTGGGGAGAGAGCGTGGCCAGGTGACCACGCCTAGCCGCTGGGAATCCTCCACTAATGGGGCCAATTGTACTTTAATGCTACTCTCGTTTACCAGGACCCTGAAGGTACAAATGTTCAACACCCTTCCAGTATCATCCCCTGGGGGTGCATTTGCCACCTTTGAGAACACCTGCTTTCTTCTTGCCAAGGTGCAGTTAGCATCCCCCTGGACAGTGGGGGTGAGTCAATCCTGTCATCTTGACTTTATGACAGGGCCTTGTCCACAAACCACGGTTCTTCTCTCTTGGGATTTTAAATGTCAAATATTATGTACCCAGGCAAATGCAAACATACAAAATGTCTAAAAGGTTTTAAATTACCTCACAAAACTACAGCTCCCACTGAAATGCTGCTGGGAATTGAATCTCAATAAGACATTTTTCTGAAGCCGAGCAGGAGTCTCCTTTGACAGTGCCCTTGCCTTGTCTGAATTCATGTAGTGTTGACCACAATTCAGTATTGTTCATGGGTCAGATTAGACCCCTCTGCTCTGTCCCTTATCAGTCATGACCTTTACTTGTTTGAAATGATCAGTCAGTTATGGGCCCCTTCTTGACAGCCTGTGCAGCTGCCCCGAAGTATAGAAAAGGAGTTTCATGCGCCAACAGCCCCTCTCATTTAACTGAAGACTAGTTATTTGTATTTTTAATTCCTTGCCAATCACCATGGCAACTGAATGCCACACCAGCTAGGCTTCATAGTCCAGAGCAGTCATTTTCAGTCCTTTTTCGATCAACACCCCCCAAAATAGCATCAACTTTCTTGTCATGACAACACTAGAAGATAGAAAGCATTATGGGATTGTGGCAAAAATCCACAGTTGGTTATGGCAGTATTTGTTGCTCCTCGTTCAGAGGCGGCATCAGTTTCTTGCTTTCCTTTCCCTGTCTCTGAATACAATTGTTAAATCAGATTCTTCTGCTTGGAAACACAAATTGCCCCCTTCAAGACACTGGGTTTATCCCTTTTCTCCTGTCTTAAGTGACAACGCAAAGTGACAACGCAAAGATATTAAACAAAAAAAAAACAAACAAACCTGAGCCATATTGATCCCATTGCCTTTAATAAAGTTACACCATAGATTAATTTGGCCCAACTATTGTTAATTTGTTAACTAATTTGGCCCAATGTGTGACTTTCATGAGTGAAATTCTGGCCTCATTGAATTCAATGGCAAAACTCCCATTAACGTCAACAGGATCAGGAATATACCCGATGTGGGAATGCCACACCAGATCAGAACAGTGAGCCTTCTGGTCAGAAATCCTGTCTCTGAAACTGGCCAGTACCAAAAACCTGAAAGGAAGGAGCAAGAAATCTTGAAGTAGACAATTATGGAATAATCTGCCCACTCAGAGAGTTTCTGCTTAACCTCCATCCATCAATGGATGGCTTATGCCCTGAACCATAACCCTTTTTGAATGTATACCCTTTTTAGAAAAAAAATATATTTAACCTATGTAATGTAACTATAAATGTTTTCATTATCCATATAAACATCTGATCTTCCTTTGATCATACTAAGTTTCAATAATATCATGTGGCAATGAGTTACACGGGCTTATTATGCATTGTGTAAATTAGTAGTATCCATTTAAAAGTTGTTGATTTTCAAGGAACAGACAAACAAATTGTTCTTGTTTTGTGAGAATAGGAAAATAGGCGCATCAGACTGACCTCCTCTATAACATTAATTAATTTAAAAAAGAACAGGAGTACTTGTGGCACCTTAGAGACTAACAAATTTATTAGCGCATAAACTTTCGTGGGTTACAGACCACTTCCCACAAAAGCTTATGCGCTAATAAATTTGTTAGTCTCTAAGGTGCCACAAGTACTCCTGTTCTTTTTGCGGATACAGACTAACACAGCTGCTACTCTGAAACCTGTCATTAATTAATTAATTTCTATCTTATTCCTTATTTGCCATATCTTTAAATCTTTAAAGTCTTTCCATGCTTCCAATCCTTTTTGTTGTCTGTCTGGACCCTTTCTATTTCAGCTCTGTCATTTTCAAAGTAGGATGACCAGAACCAAGCACAATGTTCCAGGTGAGGGCAAACTATTGTTCTCTATAACGCCATTACAATATTTTCACTGTTATTCTCTATTCCGTTCATTAGATATCCTAACATTTGGTTTGCTTTTTTAACCATCACTTCACCCTGAGCAAAGATTTTGAGCTGTCTGCAATGAAGTAAGGGTAGATTGTGACTTTCAGCCTCAGAGAAATGGATGTGTTCATAATAATAAGTAAACAAAAAAGAAGTGTTGCAACCTTCCATATTGTGCTGCTCTCATTCTATCACATACAGCTGTCTGCAACAGGACTATGACCCCAACCTTCCTACTGCTAGTGTCATCATCTGTTTCCATGACGAAGCCTGGTCTACTCTCTTGAGAACTGTGCACAGTGTTATGGATACAGCCCCAAGGGCCTCTCTGAAGGAAATTATCCTTGTCGATGACCTCAGTCAACAAGGTAGCTCCCTTTTGCTCTCCCTAAATTCTATTTTCAAGCTCTTGGAAGGAAATTGTAATACTGCATGGCAGGGTCAGGGAGAATGGAACTAGAAGGATTCTCCAAAAGCAAGCTAAATATAGAGAAAACTGGTTGCCAAATTTTACTTTTCCTCCCCTACAATTCAGCTTCATCCTACGTTTGAAAGTGTTTATGTTTTCCTGTCATTTCCAATAGTTTTAAAGCCTTTATTTTTAAACACAGTTCACCAAACAGATTGCTCTGCATGACTGCCCTGTCCTAGTCATTACGTCCCACTCCACCAATCTTTGTGTCAACCACAAATTTTAATCACCAGTGATTTTATATTTTACTTTCAGATCAGTGATAAAGGGGCTGAATAATGGTGGACCTCAAACTGGGAAACACCCCCATTTGATGATGACTCCCCATTTACAACTACTTTTTGAAATGCCTCAGTTAGCCAGTTCTCAATCCATTTAATGTGTGCTTTTTAAATATTGGATAGTGCTAATTTTTTAAATGAAAATGGCCAGCCTTTTTTAAAATCCATGGGGGGCAAGTAATCCGGGCCTGCTGATTTAAAGATGTTTATCCCTAGTAGATGCTGCTTAAAGACACCTTAGTTACTAATGGACTGGAAAGTATCTCCTCATCCTCATGTGACACAAAGTGCATCATCCTGCTTCTTTCCAAATGCAGAACAACTTTTTCCCAATGAAAGATGAGATTCTTACAGAATTCCAGGAGCTGCAACTTTAAGAAAAAGAACAGATGTCATGAGACTTGTGATAATTTGGGGAAAGCTGGTGGTAACACTCAGAGATGACCCATACTTGCTGACAGTGGGGAGGGCAGAGGGAGAGCAGTGGCTTTAGCAAATGTTACTGAGCATGCTCAGTCCATGTGAACATGTTCAGTGCAAGCCAAGTAGCAAATCTGGGGGGCATGTGACCCATGTTTCTCCCCCTCCCCACGCATCGTTTCTGATAACACTGCTTGCCGGGAGATCTTCTTCCATAGATTGCTTCTGGGACAACATGGATTCTTCACTGCTAGTAAATTATACTCTCACCTCAGAGTTTGTTCTTCCAGTCTATAATGGAAGGACACATAAGGGAAATGTAAGGGAAGGTCACATTACTCCTGGCTTGTCCCTATTGGAAACAGAGGACTTCAGTCTCCACAACTGTGTTAGTCCAACATCTATTACAAGTTCTAAATTCACTTCACCTTGCGTCTGTTTTTAAACCAACACCACATTAAAAATAAAATGCTAGATTGTGCCCTTGGCATATAAATTGGTGGTTAAGATTCACTGCCCAAGGAGTAGCCTCAAGAGGAACTGTGACTGAGAAAGTCATCATTCCTTCCCAACTCTCCCCTTTCACAATGATGTCACGTGGGGAGAGTAGTGTACTGCACTCCTTTCCAGGGGCCTGCACATGCCTTCCAGTATGCCCAGCCAGTTCTCCTGGCTGACTTGTGGGGAGGCAAAACCATGGTTCCATCATTACCTACCCAATTTCCTCACAGTGGGGGGGGGTGAGAAGGAAGGGGGAAGAAAGGGGTGGCTCAGCACAGCCCCCATGCCCAGAACTGCAAGCTAGAAAGGTCTGACTTAGCTAAATAGGAGTTGGAGATGAGGCTTTGCTCCCCTTTACTCCCTGCATGAATGAGAAGGATGAATACAAAGCTAACCCAAAAATCATTTTACTAACTGGGGAGTACCATTTTTGCCACAAACTATTTTTGGTTTTTGTTTTGTTTTTTTGGTGACAGATTGAATCAGCACTAAAATCTGAATGATTATTATATTTATTGCAGGGCATCTGAAGTCAGCCCTAAGTGAATACATCTCCAAGCTGGATGGTGTGAAATTGATCAGGAGCAACAAGAGGCTCGGGGTCATCCAGGGTCGTATGTTGGGAGCTGCACGGGCAACTGGGGATGTGCTGGTCTTCATGGACTCCCACTGTGAGTGTCACACAGGCTGGTTAGAACCCCTGTTGGGCAGACTAGCCACTGACAGGTAAATATCCCTTTGGGCTTAGTGTACAAAATGTTTAGATGCTTGTTAGAAGGGAGTGTGTCACCGTGAAGAACTGTGATCCTTGAACTATTTATATTGTTCATAATGCACAAGTTTATACTAATTCCTGATAATAGGACAACACTTGTGATCTCTTAAAATTCATTTTTACCTTGGGTTTTCATGGTCTCTTCATCCCTTTATCCATACTGTGTTATTTTACTTTTACTCCATGTGCATTAACCTGAAATTTAGGAGACTAGACAGATCAGGCACTTAATAAGACACACTACAAACCCTTTCTCTCTAGGGCTGCCTAGAGGGAATACAGCCTGTGTCTGTAGTGTCTGAAATGCATTAGTATTGAAGCATATGGTGGCCAACATGAAATGAGTTGGCAATCCCAGACAGCAAGCAACAGATGACAAGCATCCATCAGAGAAACTGCTACAAGAGTTGGCATTATTTGCTACACTTGTTGGCAGTCTTAGTAGTGAGGCCAAGGATTGAATAGGCCCAGAGGCTGGATTACCTTCTCCTCCTGTGAGCTGCTCCTGTCAGATCACAGCTGATGCACATTGACGGGGCAGGGTGGGAAGGGCTGCACTGCTTTCTCCCACGTTGTACCTGTGGTTGATCCATGGAAAAACAGAAGACTTTTCGGGCTGCCTAAATCCTAGCTATTTCACCAACACCAAGTTCACAAAGACAAACAGAGATAAAGCCTGGCTGTGATCAGCATTCAGCGATCACCAAGCATCACAAAGAGGTTAGGTTACTGAAGTGTTTCAAGAATCATATGCAATAAGTACATACCCCTTAATAAAGAAAGAATTCTGAAGCCACTGAAAAGTAAATGTTTGAACATTAAATTCTGTAACATAACAGTAAACTAAGACTGTTTGTAATACAATGAATTGCTGAGGCAGTGTGGGTGTATTTTGAAAAGAAAAATATAATGCCTCCTTTAAAACACTTACTAGATCAGTAAGTAACCAGAGTAAGAAGATGCAAACAAGGTTGTTCCCAGGCAATGAAATAGGCTGCTTTTACTGCTAACAATATCTGCTTTTAAATTCATTCATGTTCGCTTTTAGAGATGATTGCATTGTTCAAACGCAAAATGAAAGATGCTGTAAGTATGTGGAATAGAATACTGTTCTAGGATTCCATGTCTGCCCTTTTCTAAAAGGGTCTCCCAGTAAAAGCAGATTGCTTTGTCTTCTGGATTATTTTTGGCCCATGCTGTTGAAACTTCATTGCTCTTGTGACTCAGGCTGGCTTTGACCAGTATCCAATGTCTGCACATGCTGCAATCATATCTCCTGATTGCAATGTAGATGTACCCTAAAAGAGCTACAGAAACCCTTAAAGGAGTGTCACAGTGACACACTGCTCCATGGAAGATTTTCACATGCCACTTCACAGGGAAATTACAAGAGCAGGAGAGGAAGCATGGCCCATGGATCCAATGGCACAAATTCATGCCACACTGATTCACTGGCTAACATTCCCCATGGCAAGAGAGTGAGGAAGCCACCAATGCTACTGTCACCCCAAGGCTTCCATAGTGATCATGGAGCAGCTTCACTGGTGCCTTGTGCCCCATGGGAAAGGCTTCTGACCCCTACAGCACACACCAACAACCCTTGTGCAGAGCCAATGTGCTGATTGTTTACTCTGGTTTTGCACAGGGAACCAGGATTTCAGTCTTGAATAAAGGCTGCAGGATTTGCGGCCCATGAGTAGAAATGTAGCCTGATTTGGAAAACAGTGGTGGCCCAAATCATCTCTTTCTAAATACCATAGCAGAAGTGTTCCTACTCCAAGCAAGGGAGAATTTTGTAGTAGTTAAGACACAGGGTTGTCAGTCAGGAGAGCTGGGTTCTAGTCTTGGTTCTGCATTGACTTGCTAAGAGAGTTGGCAAATCATTAACCTCACCACGTCTCACTGTTCCCATCTGTAAAATGATGATAATGCCATCTATCCGATGGAGGTGATGGTGCGGGGGAAGTTATGTCATTATTTTTCATAAAGTCTTTGAGGTGCTTGGATGGAAGGTGCTATAGAAGTGCAAGGCATTAGTATAATAAACTTGAATTCATTAAGCAGGTGAGGGACTGTGAAATTGAATCTATATTCACCTCCTTATACAATAGTGAAGCAGAAAACAAAGTTTCACTGACTCACGAAACACCCACCTCTTTTCCTCATTGTGCACTAATTAAGTTGTCACTCACTCACTTTAGCTGTAAAAGAAAGTGCTTTAGCGTAGGAGAGCACTTCATCAGCTACAGAAAGTGACTCAGCAACTGCCCGGGTTATATACTGCCTTTCTGATGTCTGAACCTTTGCAGGAGTTCCAACCAATAACAATCCAATGCTCTCCTAGATCTAATGTTAAAAAGGAAAAGAAAGAACAAAACAAATTTTATATATATATATATATAAATTCAAACTAACTTATTACAGGGAGACAAATGTGATATTAATGTAATATCCAACATGAAGGCAGAATCAGATACTTTATCTACACAGACAGCTTCAACTCGAGTTAAGTTATTCCTTTTGAAATACAAAATACAGGCTTCTGGCAACAGCATCATACTTTTGGTTTTCGATTTCTGATATCAAGGAAATAGTCATAAGCAAACAATTTCAGATGTTTGTGAAAATCATGCAGTCCCAAGACTCCAAACACATTCGTGAATCAATCATGTTGCAAAAAGCAAGTTTGAAGAATAAGCAGCAGAAAGATGGTTTCATAATACTTTACACTTACAGTAAAACCTCAGAGTTATGAACACCTCGGGAATGGAGGTTGTTCATAACTGAACAAAACATTATGGTTGTTCTTTCAAAAGTTTACAGCTGAACATTGACTTAATACAGCTTCGAAACTTTACTATGAATGCAGGTCTCCCGAGTTGCATTTATTATCCTAACGCAGTAGGAGCTGGTGAAAATAGTAACCTAATACAGGTAAGCACAGATTCCTTGTCATATAAAATACTGACTAATTACATGGTAATCCCAACCCAGCTCACTTTCTGCACTGGGGGTTTTAGACACCAGTACAACTACACAGTTCTAGCTGCTCTGGTACAACTGTACAAGTTTCAAATCGGGAGCAAATCACAGTTTATGCTGGTGCAAGGCTTCTACATTGAGGGCTTGAATTAGTGTAGCTATATTGGTGTATCTACACCAGTTGATAAAACCTCAGAGTTAGACAAGGCCCCAGTCTCTTATGGCAAAGACCTATACAATTTAACAGGTATGAAACCAGTAGGTTTGTATAGAAATTATTAAAAAAAAAAACTCCATATGGAATCATATCCTTTTCTGTAGACTTTTTAAGCATTAAAATAGAGAATATTGATAGGTTCTATATATAGAAAGGTTCCCATTCTCCAAGACTCCATGAGGATGGATGGCAGACCCCTAAGAAATACTTAGTTGCTCCAGGAAGTGGATCTGATGAATCAGGCCAATTGTTTTCAAAAGTGCCCACTAACTTTAGGATGCCTCAGTTGTTAGGTGCTCACCTTGGACACCTGATTTTCAGACCTGCTGTACACCTGCAGTTCCCACTGACTTGTAGGCAGTGTGTAAGTAATAGAATTGGAATTTATGCAGGATATCAATCGTAACCTTATTTCTTGGGGAAAATGCTATGGGATCTTTAACTAAGACAAGTATAATTTGTTTCATCCAAGATAAACTAATTTCCACAGTACAATGCCCTCAGGTATCATGCTGGTAACTCTACTACCCCACACAAATGCCAATGTCATGCTGCCTAGTGCCTGCCTACATTTCCCTAAAGATTTAGCTAGAGGTGTCATTTTCCATTTCCTGTCCTCAGATGTTGGGTTGTGTTACTGTGTGCCACTGAATTCCATCTCAGAGAGGGCTACATTTCAGTCAGGATCATCAAAGTGCTCCTTATATGTAAGTTTCAATAGCAAAATGTTAGGTAAGCTAAACTATATATATAGTATATATATATATATAGGTGTGACTGCCAGCTTCATCCATGAATATAACATATTATTTGTTGATTAAATAGTTCCTTTCCCCAAGGATTTCAAGCATTTTACAAATACCCATTTGAGGCAGATAAACCGTGTTATTCCCATTTCGCAGATGAGGAAGTAGGGAAGTGAAGTGAATTTTTCTAAGGAAGCCCATGGCAGAGCTAGGAACGGAACTCAGGGCTCCCAAGTCACCACCCTATGGCTCACCCAGAAAAACATCCTGCCTAAGGTTATGTAGCCCTTTGGAATACCTTGTTATAAAAGGTTCTAGAGAAAGGAAACATTATTATAGAGCTCTTTCCATCCTTATTGAAAAAGGATCACTATACACCTTATTGGGTTACTGAATTCACTTAGCAGGGGTACTTGACTAGTTTGTGTTATTTTTTGGTTTTCGGGCTTTAGTTGATAACCTTATCAAAATTCTTTTCCCAGAAACTACAAAATCTTCCTAAAATAATTACCATGTGCACACACCCTCAAGTAAGACTTGTTTAGGATGAATTCTTTGAACCATAAATCTGAACCATAGATTTACTATGAAACAGTGCAGCAGTAAAAAGATAGGAAACAAAGGGTAAGAATAATGAGAATAGGGTCAGTTTTCACCATAGAGAGAGCTAAATAGTGGGGTCCCCCAAGGATCTGTACTGGGACAAGTGCTATTCAACATATTCATAAATGATCTGGAAAAAGGGGTAAACAGTAAGGTGGCAAAGGGTATGTCTACACTATGAAATTAGGTCAGTCTTATAGAAGTTGATTGCATATGTCCACACTAAGCGCATTAAGCTGGCGGAGTGCGTCCACAGTACCGTGGCTAGCGTTGACTTTCGGAGCGTTGCACTGTGGGTAGCTATCCCACAGTTCCTGCAGTCTCCGTTGCACATTGGAATTCTGGGTTGAGCTCCAAATGCCTGATGGGGCAAAAACATTGTCACGGGTGGTTTTGGGTACAT